GCTAGGGTGGTACATGAATGTTGGAGGCCTTCTGCATCTTGAGGTTATTGGTCAACTTGATTTCTTCCACGTCTTTCCTATGCATTGAAGTCTCAGTTTTCTCTTAAACTATTCCAATTCTAATTTGCTGCTGAACTTGTGTAGGGTGCAGATTCCCTGTCCCGAACTGTTGGTGTTTTTGCAGTCCTTTTTGCCTCGTTGGTAATGTTTCCTTTTCCTTTTCCTGTTTTGGTTTTTATTTTTTTTGGAAACTGAAAACAAATACTTTTTTGGTACATTATTTTCATTTTCAAAAAAGTAAGATTGATTCTCAAATTTTCAAAATTTTTGGAAACAAAAAAAACTGTAAACTTACTTTCAAAACAAATTTTCACACTCCCCTCCTCCCTTACCACTTCCAGCTATACCACCCACCGCTGCCACCGGCCACCACCAACTTCTGGTATTGCTACTTGTTGCCATCTGTGACCTTTGACCAGCTCTGACCAACTTTTGGCCAATCACCAACATGGGTGGAGCTATGTATATCTGAGTGTGTTCAATTGAACTCACTAAATTTTTGGATAAATTTTAGGATTACATAGTGTAATTTTTTTGAGATCTTTTCATTGATTGACACAACTAGAATTCTTAAAAAATAGTGTGGCCAATCTTCTCTTAATTTTTATTAATGATATTCATGTGACATTAGATAATAAACAAAATTTGGTATAAAAATGTGGAAAGTTCAACTAAGTTTCACATTTAGGTAGTGTTTGGTTCACTGGAATGGAGTGGAATAGAATGATCATTTTATCAAAATGTTAATTTTCATGTTTGATTAGCTAAATAATAATGAAAAATACATTGTGAACGGAATCTTTATTTATCATCATTTTATCTCATTCTAGTGAATAACGTATTTCTAAATATGGAATTCTTCTTGTTCACATGACATGAAGCAATAGTACATTAATGTTTTGTTGAAAATCGCACAATATCACTATTTTTAATTTTGTTGAAGCGATAGTACATTAATGTTTTATTGTGCATATAGTTGGCCAAGTTTGAATTACTTTTATTGTGTTATTTGTTGCCAATCTCCCTAAGCCATGACTTTGCCAATTTGTTTGAAACATATTATTTACGATCATGCTGTAATACATGTAGTTGTATGCCATAGGTAAGTTGTAGTTTAAATTGATATTAGCTACTAATTATTGTAGTGTTTGATTACGAGTCATGGGCTTGATCAAAATTAGTTATATCTCATTTTGAAAATGATGACAAACCATGTCACCATCAAACAAATTTAAAGCCTTTTTCCCTCTTCCCTTGCTTGCAGCCAACTGAGTTTCTTTTATATTGAGCTTCCTATGGATCTTTGGAATAATTTGTACTGCTTGTGTGCACATAGGTGGAGCAAGTCATCATTCATGCAAAATTGTTACAATTATTGTTGGGGCATGTCAAAAACCTTCTGCCTAGGTTTGCATTCAACCATGTGACTTGTGTTTTCGCTTTCCTCACACTTTGTTGTTTTGTTTTTCATTTTCAATGCTATGGTTATTGCTGAAATTACTGATTTCTCGAAGCTTTTATAATGCAAGGGTCGAATTATTTTGGCTCCTTTTTTCTGTCTAAGAATCCATGTGTGATATATGATAGGGACAAATCACTGATTGATTTTGGTAGTCACTGTATGATTTTGGTTACCGTTTACTAATTGATTTGACAAGTAACTTCATGATTCAATAGCTCATTAATCTAACTCACAATACATAACAAACTTGTAATCAACGACCACGAGGCTATACATAACTAATATTGAACCTGAATAGAAAAGTGATATGGTAATATCCGAATCATATCCTGGCATATCAGAGCATCTCTACCCGACCCAAACATACAAAAATTTGGTGTGTCAATTTTTTTCAAAGACTTAGGTGGTAAATTGGCATATGTCAATTTGACATAAACTTTTCATCTGATATGTCAAATATATTATTTTATTATTTTTAAAAATAAAATTATTTTATTAGGTAGACTTAACATTAGACATCAACATGGAGCATGTCAAATTTGACATGTTGAGTTCATGCTAAATGTCAACTCAATGTTTGGCTATCTAGTGGACTTACTTTGTTATATCAAAATAGAGTTATTGGACTACCACATCAAATTTAGCATATTGGTGGAGGTGCTCTTTGAGTTGTAGATAGGAGTAGAGATGGCAATTTGAACCCAGCTCGATGGGGATCCGGCCCTCCAACCCCAATTAGAACGGTTTTTTTCCGAAAAATATCCCCGATGGGCCGGGGATGGTATTTGAAAATGAACCCGAAATTGAAATTACTATTATACCCCTTTATATATATAAAAAAAAAAAAAAAATCAAACCCTAACAAACCCAAACACACAAAGAGATGACCACCTCGTTCTCATCTCTCTCTTGGTTTCTCTCTCTCTCTCTCTCTCTCTCTCTCACATTCCCTTTATCTCTCTTCTCCTCCTCATCTTTTTGTTCCATCACCTTCGTCTACTGCTTCGTTGATGGTGGCTTAGTCTTCGATAGTGACCGTATTCTCCACCTCTTCTCTCTCTTCCATCGCCTCCGCCTATTGCCTTGACTTCAACAACGATGATCTCTCACCATCAACTGAACCTTCATCGCCGAAGCTGCTCTGCCGCAAGATCCAGATCCACCACCACTGGCCGTGAGATTTGAAATTTTGAAGATCTGATCTAAAGTTTCAACAATGATCTCTCTCTGTGATCTGGTCTGTGAAAGCAACTCAATTTTTTTTTTTTTGGTGAAGGTTTGCATAACAACTTTTTTTGTTAAGGCTTTCTCATATTTATTTATTTTTTTGTTAGGGTTTTCTTAAATTTGATAGATATATATATGTGTGTGTGTGTGTGTGTGTGTGTGTGTGTGTGTAATGAACAAATCTTTAGTTGTTATTGATGAACAAATCTATCACTGATTTACACACACACACACATATATATATATATATATATAAATATGCATAATAATTTTAGATTTTTTTTTTAAGTTGTTGATGATTGTTGATGATGATGATGATGATGAAATATACTGAAAACATATTAAATTTAATTGTTGTTCTTGTGTTGAACAAAATTCAAAAAAAAAAAAAAAGGTTGAGGATTTTTCGAGGTCGGGGAAACCCGATCCTCGTTAGGGGGCGGGAGAGGGGTGATGGGTTCCCTGCCGGGGATCGAGGGTGGGGACGGGGATTTTTTTTATCTGAGAGGATCGGGGAAGGGGAGCGTAATCCCCGGCCTCACCCCGGCCCATTGTCATTCCTAGATAGAAGTGTAAAAATGGTCCGCGGCCCGGGGTGAGCCTAATCTGTTTGGGCCCGAGCCTAACTCGAGACCCTGGGCCTGGGCTTGTGCCACCATTTTGAAGTCCGGCCTATCAGCCCACTTAAGGTTCACTCAAGACCCGGCCTGGTCGAGGTCCAATATTTTTTTTAGTGAAAAATAATAAAATTTTGTTAGAAAAAATTAAAAAACAAAAAAATTTGTTCAAGCCCGCCCCAAGCTCAAGCCCAGGCCCAGGCCCAAACCCACTGGCCCACCCAAGGCCCAAATACTCCCTGGGCCTAGGCCTAATTTTCTGGCCTGTGGGTTGGCCTAGTTGGCCAGAATTTTGGCAGGAGCCCGCGAGACCTGACATGAGCTGGGTCGGGCTGGGCCGGGCCAAATTTACACTCTTAACTATAGACTAGTATTAGATATTAGATATTAGATACTCTATAATAGATTTTATGGCTTCCGTAAAAATTAATATGTTCTCTAAAATCTTTAATATTAAGGTTATAGAATTTATAAAATACTTCTCCTCCATCTTTAATTCATCTTAATTAATTTAAATTTCTCAATCAACCTATAATAATTTAGGTCTTGTTTGGGGTTTGGTTTTTTTAGTAACTTTGTCTTTTTGACTTTTGTAACAAAAAGAAGGAAGTTATTGCGTTTGAGAATAAATTTTTTTAGTTGTATTGAAAAATATGAATTTCTCGTGAGTATGACTTGTTTTTTCACTCAGTTTTTTTTTTTTTAATAATTAAAAAAATAGCTTTTTAGTCTTCATCTCCTCAAATCAATTCATTCATCCAAACGAAGGTTTAGTCACTTTCGCAACTTAGGTAAAATTAACCATCAAATGCTTAAACTGTTGAATAGAGAAATTATGTTGGGAATCGATATATATGTATATATATATAAATGTTCTATGATGAATGTTTATTATTCTTAATGTATGTGCATTCATGCATCTGTTTGGCAGCTCTGAAAATTCACACTTTTAGGGCAATGTTACACTTGGTGCATGCACTATGCTCTAGGATTTTAAGTTGGCCGCGCCCCGTTCTCATTTGTGTACATCTACTTATATTATTGACATTTTACATGAATGCTTGATTATTTATTCATCTATTTCTCCCTACAATGAAAATGACAACAATTATAATAAATTATTTGTCAATTTTGACCCAAAAAACTATATATATATATATATCAGTAAAAAACAATCCATTTTAACAAAAGAGAATTAATATATCATTGATTTTTATTACTATTTTATATTCTATCTATACCATATAAAACTTTTAAAAATTAGGGACATTGACTAATAGATTTTACTTTTGGGACTTATATTATCCATCATGTCTTATGAATAAATTTATCATTATAAATTTATTCATAAAAATAAAAAAATTGATAAATTTATCAATAAAATTTAATAAATAATAAACCTCAAAAGTAAGAGCTATGGGTGTTCTTATGGGTGTTCTTTCAATATCCCATATGCACAAGTTAGCACAATATACAAGCAAGACATACACAAAAAGGTTGGCTTTCTTTTGTGACCAAAATAAATATATTAATAGCAATAGCATTATCAATAAAATAGTCACCAAGCCCACTACATAAATAAAATAAAACAAAAAGCTTAGAAGACAAAAGATATTTACAGGAAATAAGCGTAATGTTCCAATCAATCAACCATTTCTTTTTCATTTATATTGTTTTTAAGAAAATCACTCAAATCACTTTTCCATTTTTTTTTCATAGTTTGGTTAATCAATCACATACAAGTTTGTCACACCAAATAAGACTTAAACAGAATCTCAAAATCACATACAACTCTCGCAGTAAATAAGACTTATTAAATACGTACGTCACATCTCAGAAGTTTTATTCAATTCTGTGATGAGATTCGTTCGCTAATCATTTCTGTAACTTAAAAGCTGTAGTCTGGATTGAACAGAGTCTTGTTCTTGCTCAATGGGTTAGAGCTACCCTTCTTCAAACCCTTCAATCCTCCATTTTCAATCCCATTATCTTTTTCCTCATCTTCATCTTCATCTTCTTTAGCAACATCTTCAAAAGCAGGGTGACTTAGTATGCTACTGAGAAGTTGTGTCCCTCTAAGAGCATTTGTCAATGGCAAGTGACCCTCAGGTGTGTCATCACTCAATTCCCACATGAACTCATTTGGGAAAGCCCTGTAGTTGTACTGCTCAACCTCAGTGTCAAGCTTCTTCATCCACCCAACTTTCATAAAAAAGCTTGTGAAGTCCTTATTCGCTTTCTTCCATATCTTCTTTTGAACACTGTACCCAAACTTGTCATTGCTGTGTTGTCTCCACAGCTCATCTATGGTGTTTAGGTCTGTTTCTGAGATGAATTGGACCTCTGAGAAGAAGACATAGCCCCTCTTCTGTGCTGGTTCTCCGGCGAGGACGATGAGGAGGCGGCGGGTCTCTTCGTCGGCTTGCCGGAAGTTTTTGGTGGAGAGGTGGTGGTGGAGGAGGTCAAAAGAGATGGTTTGGGAGGTGGAGGGTGTGGTGGTTGAGGAGGAGGAGGAGGAGAGGGAGATGGGGGCGAAGGAGAGAGATTGGGAGAGAGAAGTGGTGGTTGTGGTGTTGGTGGGTTTGAGGAAGAGAGAGGAGGGGAGGGTGGTGGGAGGGGAGTCTATTGAGTGGCGCCTAGGGAGAGAGTGGTGGTGGTGGAGGGATTGGAGGGAGTTGGTGGCCATTTGTGGAGAGAGAGAGAGAGAGAGAGAGAGATATGGAATTGTGGAATTAGGAAGGCATCAAGGGAAATGGAGAGGAGAGTGGAGGAATTAATGTGAGATAATGGGGGTGGGATTGTGGATTGATGGGAGATAAGGAATGGGTGAAGAGAGGAATGGAGGGGGTAATCAAGACCATCACAATGAAGGGATTTGATTGGTTAGATGTGGGTGAGGCCAGATACACTCTCTCTCCCACTATTCCCACTATGGAGAAAGAAAACCCCAATTTGTCTTTCTCGCTATTGACTATTCATATGCAATGTTTATGTTTATTTATTTGTTTTTCAATAATGGCACATTCTCACTCTTCACTCTAAATAGAAGGTACTAGAATTTTAACTTATCATATTTAGAGGTTGTTTGGGATGAATTATATAAGTATATTTTTTGATTTTTTAATTAAAAAATAGAGAAAAAATATATATTTGGGATAATTTTTAAATTTTTTTTTAAAAAAATATGTATTAAAATATTGTATTAACTAATAAAATTACCTTTCTACCCTTTTGACATGTTGTCCGTGCTGCACTGTTTTTCGTGCGTTAGTGCACTGTGCTGTATTGTTTTTTTTTTTTTTTTTTTTTTAAGCTTTCTTAAAATGTGCACGGTTAGAGAGGGTATTTTTATCTTTTTATTCTCTATCTATTCAACTTTTTGTTTCCGTCCAAACATATGAATAGTGTTATCTTTTTTATTTTTTCAATAATTTTTTAATTTTTTAATTTTTTAAGAAATGCCAAACACCTATTTAAGAAAAAAAATATATATATATGAATAGAAATAAATTGACTAATTAGATGGACCTCCCTTAAAATTTGTGACAATTGCATAATAATAATGTTAAATTTATTATCTATTTTGTAATTATCTGATTCTGTACATTTACAATTCTAAATATTAATGGAGCTCGTGTAATGTTTAATGAATCAATAATTATTTTTGAGTGCGGTACTTCTAATAATTCTAACTTGATATCTAATGGGCTATTTCTGTTCAAATTCATTTCAATCGTCTTGCGGCCAATCTTAAGGCGTTGTTTAGAATATCTTAAATAAGTGTATTTTTTAATTTTTTAGATTAAAAAATTGAGAAAAAAAATATAATTGTTTGGGTTAATTTTTTGACTTTTTATAGAAAAATATGTATTAAAAAATTATATAAATTAGTGTGTAAGGAAAAATTAGAATTGAGAGTTTTGCAGCCGTACTTTTTGACTTTTGGTGAATAGTGATAATTTTTTAATTTTTTGAGTAATTTTTTAATTTTTTAGAGACATGTCAAACTTGACCTAAATATTGGGTTGCATTTACGTGGCTACTTCACTCATCGCTCTTCGGTTTTGGGTTTTTGTCTCACATTATTTTTTTAAATCACTCAAGTTCAATTCATATAATTTAGAGGCTACTCTATATGTTGTTAATTGGTTTTAAGTTAGATGAAAATGAACCAACTATTTTAGGATGATATAAAGTTTTTTTATTTGAAATTTTTGCATCTTAAAATTACGAGTAATGTTAGGAATTATAAAAAAAAATATTATGAAAATAATTATGAAAGATTTTTCACATTTGAATTACATATATAATAAAATACCAAACACTAACTAAAGAATGAAAAATCCTCATGATATTTTTTAATGATTCCTAATATTAATCCAAAATTATATAGGATTCAACAACTTTAAAAGTGTTGAAAAAAGAGGACATAAGAAGTCAAAAGCAAAAATCTTAACCGAACCAATCTATCTATATCTCTATATATTATATAAGAAAAAAGAGATTTTTAATCCATAAATCTTGTAGGAGCTCCAATATCACAATCTTAATTTTTTTACTTTTTTGAGCTCCAATATCACAATCTTAATTTTTTTACTTTTTTATTATTATTATTATTTTTTAAAAAATTAATATTTATTAACTTCTCTCAACCCATAAGCCTTTCAAAAGATTTGGTCAAAACTCCTTCATAATAAAATTTTAATGCATTAAAGGCAAACATTTAAAAAAAAAAAAACATTCTTGAAAGTTCAACACATATTATTATTATCAAAATATTAAACTTTAAAATAATATAACTTTTGATGTAGATGTCTGTTTTAAATAAAATAGTATTTTTAGAATTCTTTTATCAAAATTTATCAAATAAGATCTATGTTGGCTATAAAATTCTTTTAAAAAAAATTATTACCGTTGACAGTAACATATTACTTTGTTTGACAGTTATTATGTTTGACAGTAACATGTTATTGTGCCTCACAGTAACATGTTACTCTGACAATATTGTCCAAGAAAAAAAAAAGAAGATATTTTACTTTATCTTTATTCAATTATATGTTTTCTCCTTAGAGGGTTTATATATGAAGCAAAATAAATTGGGCTGTCTTTTTCACCAAATAAGGGTCCAATAAAGGGGTTTTGGTTAAATTTCAAAAGCCTAATCTAAAAAATAATAATTTGTATATTAAAAAAAAATCTAAAAATGTTACCCAAAAAACAACCTAAGAGGACGGGTGAATTAGATTTCTACAAATTAAAATTAATAATACCTTAATAAAATTAACTACTAGTATAACAAATTATTAACAAGTACAATGATAAACTTAGCAGTAAATGATCAAGCAAAATAACAATGACGTATAACTAACATACAGGGTAAATCAAATGATTAACACATGAATATTAGATAGCTATAGCAGTAGTAGGAAAGTAAAGAAATTAGGAAAGAGGAGACAAACAGACTTATAGTGGTTCGGTTTCAACTAACCCTACATCTACTCCTTAAGTTTCACTTGAGATTTTCCACTATCTTTTAGCTTTACAGGGGTGCTAGCAACCTCTTTACAAATGAAGTAATCCTCCATGGGTTTTACACAGACTTCACAAGCCCAAACCCTTACAAATCTTAGGTGATTCACAATCACTCTCAAGATTTCAAGAACACAATGTTTGCAACACTTTTACAAGATGAAATTGTATTTTTACTTTCAAAGAAAGCTTACAATAAATATCTCTCAAAGATAGATATATAAAATGAAATTTTGATTTTTCTGTAAATCTCACACAGAAAAGATGAGCTTAATGCTATAAGGCTTAGTGTATAATTTCTGAGAGATGATGTAAACAAAAATTGAAAAACACTTCTCAGAGAATTTTTCAGAGAATAGATGTGAGTGATTATAGATCAAAGAATATTTTCTGATTTTTTTTGTAACTTATTTACATTAGAAGTTTTAGTATATATAATGAAACTTATAGCCGTTTATAGCCGTTATACTTCATCATTACTAATTTGAATATCTTCCACTCCATCATTACAAATTTGAATATCTTTCACTTGAACCCTTTGAACCTTTTGGCCTGCTACTGTGCTGGGCTGTTTGAATCTTTGTTTTGGTCTGTTTGAACTCCTGATTTAATCAAATATTAAATACATTTTAACAATATTTAAGATAAAGGTTTGGGTGAGAAATAATGGGATAAAATAAATTTTGATTCTATTTTTCTCTTTCAAATAAATTAAAACATAATTAAATAAATCATCAAAATAAATTTTAGATTTAAAATATAATTAAATAAATCATAAAAATAAATTTTGGATTCTATTTTTCTTTTTCAAATAAATTAAAATATAATTAAATAAATTATCAAAATAAATTTTGGATTCTAATTTTCTCTTTCAAATAAATTAAAACATAATTAAATAAATCATCAAAATAAATTTTGGATTCTAATTTCCTCTTTCAAATAAATTAAAACATAATTAAATAAATCATCAAAATAAATAAGTCTAACAATCTCTCCCTTTTTGATGATAGCATACAATGATGTTTTGATTTGATTTGGGAGTAAGAAAATCTCTCACTCAAGTCATGCTCCCTGAATTCATTTTTAAATACATAGGTTAACACATGTGTAATAAATAAGTTTTAATTAGAGACATGATATGAGACTAAGATATCAAACTATAATACATAACATCAGATTAATTTGAAAATAATGCCATAATTTGAAAAAAATACCATAATATATAACATCATAACATCATAAGTTTTCTCCTTTTGTGACATTATCAAAAGGAAATTATGGGTCAGAATCTGGAGGAGGAGGAGGAGGAGGAGGAAAATTATAGAGATAAATGGCATCAAAAAATAGATAATCAAAACATATATATACATATATGCATACACATACAACTATCTCGCGCATCTCTCTTTTTTCGCAAAATGCAGTTGCCACGCGGCTTAGCTTTTGCTTCATTGGCCGACAAAAGCAGCTCTCCTCGATTGCCGCTCGTTTCGGCTATCTCTCCCTCATTGTCTTTTTCTCTTCGGCCTCTTCTCTTCAGCCTTCTTCTTAATCACACTCGTCTGCTTCTTCTTCTTCTTCTTCACCTCACTCTCTTCTATCTCTTCTTCATCATTCTCTTCGATCTTCTTCTTCCTCGAGAGACAGAACAGAGAGACTAAGCAAAGCAGAAAGGCTGCCAAAAACGACTCGCCTTTCGATTACATCTCTCTCTCCTACTACATGGCCTCGTCCCATCCCCTTACTCTCTTTTCGGACCTGAATGATCCTGTAAGCCCTGCTGGGCCAAGTGCCTCGGCTCTTACTATTCCCAACCTTCCTATGATGTCGATTGAGCAAATAATGGTAGCTCAATCAGACATTGAAGCCAATCTTTTCACACTGACGTCCTGTATGAAGATGGTGACTGTAGTCACAAAATTGGCTCACTGACTACAAAACAGGACGAGTGAACTCTATCAAGTCAATGCCCAACTCTCTCTGCTCCAGCGCATGTACAATGATGCACGAGCAGAAATAGGCGCACTGAAAGTTGAAAATAAAGAGCTTAAACGGAAGACCACCTCCATGGCCTGATTTGGAGCAATGTCATTTTTGGCCTTTGATAGTCAATGGGGAGTCGTCGCTCTCGACGAAAGTACGGGGGTAGGGGCATCAAGGGTCGCCCAAGATGATAAAAAGAAGAAGAAAACGATGGAAGAGGCGAGTAAGTAAGATCAGCGTATGGCCGGAAAAAAATGAAGGATTTTTTTTTTTATGTTTATTTTGATCGGCGTGTGGCCGTAAAAAAAAATGAAGGATTTTTTTTTTTTTTTTGGTTTTGTTATGTAAATATTTATATTTTGATTTGTTGTTTTGTTTATGTTT